GCGAGCGAAAAACTACAACAACGCCATCTATTAAAAAAATCGAAAACTATCTACGTAAATAGCGCCATCTAGTGAAGTTGTAGAAAATTACCTACACCGAAAAGATCTGCGATAAACAGTGCAATCCATACCAAATACTAAGTTTACGCCGTTATCCGAAAGATGGCAAATGTGTGCGCAGGCTGCCGCCTAACAATACCTGATAGAAGATACCTTAAGTGCTCGAAATGTCATGAAAACTATGATCTTGATTGCGCAAACGTACCTGAAAAGCGTTTCTACAATACTATGACAAGTGACCACAAAAGAGCTTGGAAATGTCAACTATGTCGATCTAAGGAACCGAAAACTGGTAACAGCAACACGCCAATTCGCGCAGACCTTCATCTTGATATATCTCATGAAAGCCAGGGTCCAGCACGTTCATCGGAGACCCCAACACTAGATCAAAACGTCATGGTTAGAAGAAAGATTCCCTACAGCGGAAACACCAGTTACATAGAAAGCTATGATGACTCAACCTGCTCTCCCGAAGGAAATACACTGATTACAAGCCCACAAGCACACACTACAAACAAACCAACTGATTCCTTTGTGGAAAATCCATTAGTACTAAAAAGTTTTACATCAATACTACAGGAAAATAATAAAACCATAATATCTGCATTACAAGCATCCTTCAGAAATGATATAGCAAACGTTGTATCAGAGATAAAAGCGGACTTCAAACAAACTTTTGAAAGAATATTTAACGAACAAACATTGTTTAAACAGGATCTCACTTCTATAAACTCCAAATTATCAGTACTAGAAAAGAAATGCAACACACTTCAATCAGAAAAAGAAAAATTACAAATAGAGATACAAAGTCTACAGAAAACATGCAATACATACCAACCTAACAACCAAATGAAAAACGAAACAAATGACAAAACATTAGTTTTACATGGCCTAACAGAAAATTACTGGGAATCAGAAGAACAACTTATTGCCAGAGTAACAAACATGTTTTATGAATTGCTAAATGTAGATATATCGGGACACGTCGAAGAAATGATATTTATAGGAAGAAATAACAACAAAAGACCTTTAAAAATCGAACTTATTAGCAAAAGGATGAAAAAATACATTTTGGAAAACTCTATACAGTGTGTCCGGGCATGTAGTGATCAAACTTTAAGGGCGTAATCTATGGACAATTTTATCGATGAAAATACTTCAAATTTGGGGCCTGACCCATTTCTCGAAAAATTACATCGATTTAAGTTTTTAATTTTTAGTTTACACCTCTTCTTTAAAAAACAAGTGAAAGCGTGGGTAGCTTAACATTAATAGGCAAATATTTTATATCATGCGATAGCCAATGAAATTATCTATTAGTAGAAGAAGAAAGCAGACACAAGTTTCATACATTTTATGGGAGTAAGAATGGATTTAATTAGAAAAATACATTAATAAATTATTTCTAAATTTAGTAAATGTCAATGTTTTAATATCTTCGGGTAATTTATTAAATATTTTTATTGCCATACAATACACATTCCTTGAGTAGAGGGTCAATCTTTGTGGAGGAATTCTCAAATTTTCAGTTTTCCTGCCTCTGTACCTATCAAAGTCTTTGTTTTTATCGAAGAGATGAATGTATCTTTTAACAAAAATCGAAATTTCCAATATATATAGGCAGGGAAGTGGCAAAATGTTTAGAGCCTTGAATAGAGGTTTACAACTATCCAAATAATGTACCCCACAGATTGATCGAATACATTTCTTTTGCACTTTAAAAGCTCTTGGCATATCCACAGAGTTTCCCCATAATATGAGACCATATCGTAGCACAGATCCCACATATCCATGATAAGCCATGACTGCTGCATCTTTAGATGCTACTTGTCTAACTCTGCGGAGGGCGTAAACAAATCTGTCAATTTTGCTAACTATATAGTCAATATGGTCTTTCCAATTACAAAATTGATCTATTTTTAATCCTAAAAACTTTGTCGAATTTATATGTTCTATTTTACGATTGTCACAATATATGTCAAGTAGTTTTATGTCATTGTTGAATTTTGCTTCAAATTTAATATATTTGGTTTTATTAACATTAAGATTCAAATTATTACATTCAAGCCATTTTATTATTTTACATAATTCAGTACTTGCAATACGATCTAACTCTTCTTTATTTTTACATTTAACGGTAAGAGTGGTATCGTCGGCAAAAAGTAAACATCGTTGGTTAGTGACATTTGGCAAGTCATTAATGTACAAAAGAAANTAGCAGATTTTTTTCAAAAAGTATCATTTTTTATTACTTGTTGGCATTTTTTGTGTATTGTTTGTATTTTTTTAGTATCGCCTGTTATTTAGCATTATTACTGTTTTTATTTTATCAGGATATACCGCTTAGTTTAAAAGTTATTACGTTTTCTTTACAATAAGTAATTGGAAGAAAAAAAATTCCATAAAAAATTTAAAAAAATCTCAAAAATTTTTGACCTCTTTTTTGTCGATAAAAATAGGTCTAATTTCATCTATTTTCATATGTACACTTTAACGTGACTCACACTGTATATAGAAGATATTAACGCCCGTATTCACAAACTTTTATTTTTAAAATTTTTTGAAGTCCCGTTAGCTTACTTGCAACTCAAAAGTAACTAGCAGTTGCAGTTTCGTTGCAGTTGCGTTTCACCGTCTGTTCTTGGCCTTTTGAGTTGGGGGCCGTCCATAAATTACGTCATCGATTTTTTCAGATTTTAGACCCCCCCCCCCTACAATCATCCTAGCGTCATTTCTTAATGGTAATAGTACAGGTACAGAAGGATTACTCCGCAAGACGATTTAAATAAATGCGAGTCTTGCTGCGACGCGATACAGTGGAATTCAGCTCGCACAGCACTACGTACCTACAATTTTATTCACCTACAAGTTTTGTCTCTTTCTATCGTGTGCCTCTGAACTCTTCTTACGCTGTTAGGGTTGCTGTCTAGTGAAAAAATAATTATTCTACTTATTTTTAATGAGATACGTATGTAGGTAAGTATGCATTAATTATGGAAAACCTTGGGAGAGGCCTTTGTCCAGCAGTGGACGTCATTTGGCTGAAACGAACGAACGCATTCTGAGCAGTAGTCATAGTAGGTTAGGTTCCTATACTATCCTAAGAATTATTGATTACCTACATGGCCAACATACCTTTCAGCATCTTTGGGAAGCGAAAAAAAAGATAAATCCGGTAGATTTCTTTTCGAATTTAAACACCCGAACGCCGCACAATATTTCTTTCTCTTTATGTCCATTTTTAAATAATACTTCGATCATAGAATTAATAATCATACTACAACGCACGTCAGCGTCCTGACGGGCGCGCGCGTGACACTCGACTGATATAATACCCGCCGGCGGGGCGCTTCGCTGTAGGTAATTATCGGATGTACCGCGCGGAGTGAGCCAGGCCTGCTACGAGTGCGAAATATTAAGATGGAAAGCTCTAAATATAATTTTCGGCATTTTTATAATTATTTAGAATAGAGATTGTTACTTCATGAAATGAGAATAAAGTATTTAAGTATTACTTTAGTATAGACGATGCATATCTACAGGGTGTTTGGTAAATGGGTATATGAGCCGACACTAGCCCATGTTAACATGGGCATATAAATGGTATGGTGAAGTCAGATTTTTGATATCATTATTTTAATTTTTTTAATTTTCATACAAAATAAATTTTATAAAATCCGATTCATATGAAAATTAAAATGAAGATATCAATTTTCTGACTTCACCATACCATTTATATGCCCATGTTAACATAGGCTAGTGTCGGCTCATATACCCATTTACCTAACACCCTGTATAGGTCTAGTCAGTCAGTGCCTGGGGTATGGGAGCGGCACGGGAGGTGTGACGGCGTGACAGATCATACAAAATCTGAAGCGCATCACCAGAGTAAATACAAATGAGTAGGTCATCTTCATAGAAACGCACCGAGCGCGGTTTGTATGTGAGCGTGCCAACACGTATCGCACGCACGCACACACTGACACAATTCGGCGCAGCCACGACTGGCTCAGAGCCAGAAAATTTAGCGGGGAGCCAAAATTTTGTCAGTATGTGCGTGCGCGCCGTATACGTGTTGGCGCGCTCACATACAAACCGCGCCCGTGCGTTTCTATGAAGATGACCTACTCATTTGTATTTACTCTGGCATCACGTTTGATGTCCCAACAACCTCCCGTGCCGGTCATACCTCAGGCACTGACTTAGTTGAGCGCTTTATACCTATAGCTATACATTTCCAGCCCATGTAGTTTATGTTGCAGTTGTAGCCCAATGTGCTAGTCCTATACTCGGTAATGTCCGATCGCCGAGCATGTAGAATTTCGTCCAATGACCCCAAGCTACCCATCCTTATCGCTCGCGCGTAATTTTATTGCTGTCGCGCTCGCTCACTGCGGTAGCCCGTCGCGCAGTCGTGACAGCAATATAATTTCGACAGACGTAATTCTACGTGCTCGGCGACCGGACTTTACATATCAAAACTGGAGCTTATGTCTGAGGTATTAATGTAAGGAAGAAAATGATATTACACATTTTTGTAAATCAAATATTTTAATAAAAAGTTTTTATAATCATCACATTATTTTATTTACAAGCTAAATACCTGAAGTCATATTATGTGATTATAGAAATCATTTTTTAGACTTTCTTTTGCATTACATCCATTCAATCTATTTCAAAATCACAATTTAACAAATAAATGTAATAGGCTATGACAAAATTTCAATTATTTGTCCATCAGACAGATAATTAGAATATAATTAGACTGATATTTATTATTTTCTTTCTTAAATAACAGTGCTACATCAAGTTGAAATGGCGCGTTACGTCACGCTTGAGTAGATTTTTACTCAAAAGTGACGTCACGCGACATTTCAACTCAATATAATACTAATTATTCAATTATGAAAACAATTAAAAAATATGAGTCCAAAATTTTATTATTATCTGTCTGACGGACTAAATAGAAATACGATTTTACTACCCAGTCATCATCCCTATTACAGCTATTTATTATTAAAAGTCCTCTTAGCCTTCTGTTCGGCTGCGTCGCTGGCTTCCACAAACGTACGCTTGAGTTTGTTTTTGCGACTGTCTCGGTACTTCGCTGCGACCTTTTCTGCAAGCTTTGAGATTCTCTTCATAGTCTGTGGTGGGTACCTGAAGAAAATTAGGGTTATTAGTGTTGAATAAATACCAATTTAGAGTTATGCCTGTTTTCAACAACAATCCCTAAAGCAGGGGTGGGCAAGGCAAAAAATACTACATATTGGTTGTGTACTAAACTATGCTGTTTCATTTAAGATTTCAAGAAGTATGCAAGTGGTAGATGCCCAGGGTTTCTTTAGTAAACAGTACATCTTATGTCTTATCAAGTTGGCCACCCCTGCCCTAAAGTGACCCCTATGTATCATAGGGGTCTTAAAAATTAGGGATTGATGGTGAAAAAGGGCATAAGTGTCTGTTAGTGTTCGATACCAATTTAGACTAGACCAACTACAGGATGTAAATTATAACTGAATCTTGTTTTTTTTAGATGTTCGTTCGTTTGAACGTTTCAGCCGAAAGACGTCCACTGCTGGACAAAGGCCTCCCCCAAGGATTTCCTCTCCATGGGGGGATTTGCCTTAATCGCCACGCTTGGCAGGCGGGTTTGCCTAAATATCCGTAACCGAAACCGGTATAATATTATTCCTACATCCGTAACCGTATCCATAACATCCCTACTAAAAACATACCTGCATCCCAAAAACTCGATGTTTGTAAACAACTGAGCAAGCGTCACCAGCTCTTCCTCATCAAAGTTGTCTTTATGCTCCATCATGAAGTTACGCCGCACTTCCCACTGCTCGTCCGACTCGTGATCTGATCTTAAAGAGTCCACGTCTATTGAGGGTTTCATAATTTTCAAAATATCTGCAATGTTTGAAGTTGAGGTTATGTTGTGTTGTTGTATGACGCAGACGCAGTGGTATGACGTTAATGAGTAAGCAGTGATTATTAATTAATATAAAGTAATTAATAACAAATGCAACTTACTTTAATTCAGTGAAATTAAAGTAAGTTGAGCACCAACTGATCCCAGCAATCACAGTGCCTACACGACAGACTGCTTGTCTTGATCACATTTATATAAAGAACACGCCTAACGTGGCACTGGGACTCGTTTGCAGTAGTAACATTACTGATCACGATATATGCATTGCTGGATTATCTACATCAAAGCCTCAAACGTCAAATAAAAAAATCCGTCGTACTACTAACACTCAAAACTTGCTCTCTGATCTGAATTCTGCTGACTGGTCTGCAGTGCTGGTAAGTAACGACACAAATGTGGCTGCCGAGTCCTTCGCTAAAATATTACACCAAGTCTTACAAGATAACTCCAAACTAGTCAAGTCGGGTAGATCTCAAAGTAACCTTAAACCCTGGATCACACCCGGTTTAATTAGGTGTCAAAAAACACGAGACAAGTTGCATCTGCGAGCTAGGAAGAACCCACATGACTACATAATTCAAACTTCGTACAAACGCTACAGGAACTTCCTAAAAGAACTTTTACACAGAGTTAAATCAAAATTTCAGAATGAACAACTAGAAGACAATAAAAATAATCCCAAAAAGCTATGGTCAACTATTAAAGACATTTGTAGCATACCCCGCAAAAATAATGACGCAACCGAATTGACTAAATCTGAACCCAATCCCATTCTCTCATTGAATGCCACTAACAATTTTTTCACATCAGTTGGCAGAAATCTTGCGCAAAACATTCTCAACAAACTAAACGTTACCGAATTACAGTTGGCTTCTAACTTTGCTTCCTCTACATCCCCGCCAAAATCTTTCTTCATGACTCCTACTGATAACTTCGAAGTGGAGTCGCTAATAATGGGTCTAAGAGATGATAGTGCACCTGGTTTTGACGGCTATTCTCCAACTGTTATAAAACAAATTAAGCATATAATTGTGGAACCTTTAGTGCATATCTTTAACCTAAGTATTGCACAAGGAGTATTCCCAGAATGCTGGAAATTCGCTGTTGTCTCTCCAATCTACAAAGATGGTGATAAAAAAGTGTCTTCAAACTACAGACCAATCTCACTACTTAGTATTTTCTCAAAACTTCTGGAAAAGATAGTAAACAAGCGTCTGGTATCTTTCTTAGACAGCAACCACCTAATATCAGACAATCAGTTTGGATTTCGAACTGGAGTATCAACTGAGGAAGCAGTCAATCTCTTAACAACCAACATCACGACCTCTTTGGATCAGGGCGACTTTTGTATTGGTGTTTTCATTGATCTTGCTAAGGCATTTGATACTGTTTCCACACCAATATTACTCCGAAAGCTGGAATGCCTTGGCATAAGGGGAACCCCACTTGAATGGTTTGGTAGCTACCTCACGGGTCGCCGTCAGTCTGTCAGAGTGGGTGACGTGGCAAGCAATATGCTAAAAATAAGTTCTGGTGTTCCTCAAGGAAGCATTCTTGGTCCAAACCTCTTCTCCATCTACGTCAACGACCTATTAGATCTATCTATTGCCAACACAACAATCATTTGCTATGCAGACGATACGGTCGTACTTTTCAGGGAGTCTTCTTGGGACAATACAAAAAAGCTGGCTGAAAATGGTATGTCAATTATAGCTGGGTGGCTTGATCGGAATCTACTAACGCTCAACACAAAGAAAACTACATTCTTGGCGTTCCATAAAACTAAAGCAAACTCTCCTTGTAATCTGTCATCAGTCGTCATCCACGAATGTCAATCACGAAGCCGTCCTCTTGCGACTGCGGCTGTATCCACTGCAAACGCCTGCAACTGTAAAAGTATTAGTAGGTCAGGCTGCGTTAAGTATCTGGGCATTCTTATAGATGAAAATCTCTCGTTCAAAAACCAAATCTCAATGTTATCCGGACGACTCAGAAAACTTTTGCATATTTTCAAGGCTCTTAGACGATGTGCCCCCGATCAAATTCTCCACATGGTATACACCTCTCTATGCCAATCCATCCTCATCTATTGTATAGGCTCCTGGGGCGGCTCCTGTAAAACCAGATTCATCGAGGTGGAAAGGTCGCAACGTGCCGTTCTTAGAGTGATGCTCAAAAAGCCGTACCGCTACCCTACGGACTTACTTTACGAAGAAACCAAGTTGCTTCGTGTCAGACAACTGTTTATATGGCGGGTTTGCTGTGCTCAGCATAAAAAAACCCTGAACTCGCCAGAATTAGATGCACTAATGAAAAAACGTGTGTTTCGAATACCGGTACCTACGGTCCACACCACGTTTGCCAAACGCCTTCCTCTGTTTTCACACCCCCATATTTACAACAAAGTAATCCGAAAATGCCCCCTAAAAGACCTATCCCTATATGAAGCCAAACGTAAAGTCAAACTTTGGTTATTGGACCTTAATTATGCAGATTCGGAACGAATCCTCCCACAATCTTGACATGCGACTCATCTTACACTCTCGAACACAACACTAACACTCACACACACACACACACACACATAATTTGTTCATATATCACAATATTTATGATTCATAATCTTTAAAAAACCACAATAATAGTCACCTGATAAGGAATCGGAGCTGTATATTTAATGTAAAAATGTAATCTGTAATGCTCACTCAACACAACTACTGCGACACAGGCCTGCGAGCCTAGTGCAGAAGCTGTGGTTTATTACATCACAGGAAATGATATTTGTGAATAAAGATTATTTATTTATTATTTATTTAAATAAATTACAAATTACAAAAAATATTTTGTTTGATGTGGTGAAATTGACAATTTTTCTGACATTGACAGTCCATCTAGCTGGTAGAAAATGGTAGTTTCTCGAACCGTTTTCTATTATACGCAAGTGGTAATTAAGGATTTGATACAACAGAAGTTGTTATTTTGAATATGATAAAGCAAATTATTTTAGAAATCTTCAGATTACTTCATTTTTAAATGGAACATGATATTCGAAGCGAAGTGAGCCTTTTAGGTAAATACATTTGAGATGCGATTTGCACTATTATGTGTAACGGAACGTGTTTTTACAATATTGCCATACGTCTTTTTATTTTTCTACTTTAAACAATTTTTTTATATTGATTCAACGTTGAAACTTGATAAATTATTCTGTAATGTAATTATTATATTATAAACATTATTTTAAAGCAGTTAATAAATTGAGAAAAGTAATATGAAATTATTTTTAGTGACAATTTAAATTTAAACTACTAAAATATTATAAAGATAGAACTAGCAACATTTTTGAACTAGTATAATCCTTCAAAATTCAATAGACCTAAATCCAAGACGGATTTAGATGGAAACTACAATATTCATTGATTTTCGTTTGATGTGCAGACCGCAGCGCCATATACGTAGAATTTTTTCGTTCTTCTATATTTAGCCGGCTTCCGATCATACGTTTTAACTTCGATTGTCATCTCAGAGCCCCGATTACGGTATTTTTTAACGTCAACAATCCAGACACGCTTCTCGATTCTGCGATACGATTGGTCGTTCAACAGCGTACGTCAGCTGTTTTGACCAATCGTATTGCAGAATCAGAAACGCGTCTGGATTGTAGACGTTAAAAGTTACCGTAATCGGGGCTCAGCTTTTGTTGAGTGAAAAATTAAAATTAATTATACATTTGAAGGTATTTCTAACTTAGAATGGGTAAAAAAGTGTTTAAAATGACGTGAGAACATCAAAAAGTGTCTATTGAAACAGCAGCATAAGCGTTACAGGTAAAAACTGAGCACAATACACTAATTGCTTAGTATATCTTTGTTCTCGTACTAAAAATTGTTTACAAATATATTTTGCCTTTGTCTGTAGTGCGAGCCCATCCTCAATTCCGGGCCAGAGTGTGAGTTTGTAGTTAAAACAAGAGAGAGACAAGATAATGGAGTTATCTTCTATTAAGATGTTCTTTAGCATGAATTATTTTAAGAACACTGATGATGAGAAAACCTCCAATGAAATGGAGGATACAGTAATTGTGCAAAAAGATGAGACTAAGGAAATTAATTTTGATCGCGCTGAGCCAGATTCTACGTCAAAACAGTGTGGCACAAGCTCAAATCTGCCAGATTCAGAAACATCTCAGAAAAACTGCATGTCTGAGTCTGACGTAGCTCTAAGCAGTGAAGGCCCAAGTAACGAGCAGAAAACCAAGAAACTAAAACTAGATATAAATAAAGCAAGGCTCCTGTGCGAAGCGATAGATGATACGGATTCGAGCCCGTCCAGCAACGTTGAAAACACACCCAAACAAGTTTGGCTTAAAAACGAAAGTGAAGACGGGTTCAAATTCCGCAGTCTTGACTTTGATAAGTCTTATGACATATACGAAATGTCTGAGAGCTCATCCCTTGTTGAAGAAGAGAACCTTGATGAAGAATCGTCGGACAGGTCAGACATATCAGTAATATCGGCTGACAACGAAGAAATCAAGATGTGTCGTAAAGTGGAACCGGAAGCAACAGAAGACTATCAGCGAGTACAATCGGCCAGTGCTGAGCCGTTTGCGGACATAGAAGTTGAGAAAAATGAAGAAGAACGCATCATGATGCTGTTGGAATACCAAATGAACCTGCAAAAGTTAGATTGCATACTCAAAAAAGTGCTTTCAGAGTTCCAATTTCAAATCGAAGTATCAAAAGTGTTCCATTGCCGTTCCATCGTCACCACGCTGCCTGGAACTGACATCACTAACATCCCAAATACGTTGGGCGAGATCACATACATTGACAACTTAGACCGCGGTGTTAGTCCGTCTGGGTCATGGAATATCGTCATGGAAAAGGAAGACGACGATGCGAAATTAAAATTAAAAAAGCAGCTATCTTCTATGAAGCACTGCATTGACGATTTCATAGACACTTATCTTCAAAAGCAGAAGAAATGCAAGAAGTTTTTACCCAAAAACAAGAAAAAGTTCAAGTATTTCGATTACCCGGACTACAGAGACGCTATGCTCAGTCTATTCTCCCCAGAACATATGAAAGAGGATACTAACGTCACGAACGTTACCAAAATGAGCGATTACGACGAACACGACGCGCCTAAATGCGTCTGCAGGTGCCAGCTACACCGATCCCCATCTACGCCCACTGATTCTGGTCTTACCACTAAAAACGACCGATCTATATCCAGTCAGTCAATAACCTCTTCAATCGGCAACTTCAGTCTCGATTCATCCACTCTGACCGCCTACTCCGAGTCCCTAGACCAGATAGTGAGCTACAATAGCTTCCAAGACACAAGTTTCTACAGCACGTTGCTTCAAAAAGCTGCAATCGAACGCATAACATTCTACGTTCAAGTGCACAGCATACAGCTGAAATGCGAGCCGTCTGATCAGGAATTCGAGTCAAAAAACGTCATAACTTTCCATTGTCCGGCTTGTAAATCGCTAGAAAGCGATGAGAATGGTCTACTAAGACATATATTGAGCCAACGTCACTGTGAGAAGATTCATTTTCTGTACAAGACTGCGTATATCAAGAAATGCGTGTCAGCAGGCAAGGAAATACAGCCCAGTACTGTGTTAAACCCTATGAAGATGTATCGTGATGAGAACAAGATAGTATGCTTTGGAGATGCCATGTATGCTTGCTCGTTATGCTTCGAGAACATCATCGTTGGTGAGTCCGTTCTCATGGCACACTGCTCCGACCCAGAACATGTGGAACGCAGAGATAAATTTTTCGAAATCATAGAATAAGTGCATGTTGCATGAATTAGTTCCTTGCTTTTAGTTTTCTTAGAATGCTGGTGTCGTTACTAAAGATTTTTCTCAAATTATAACTTTTTTGTCGAGTTCATTGTGCCATATTTTTTATCAAAATAATCAACAAAAAAGAGCCATTCCCATTTCGAAGGCACCAGTTTGTTTAGTGTATTTCTAAACTAATAGCAAGGGATACATTTTAATCGTAAAATAGGTAATTTGTATACTTACTTATTTACTTTATGATATCTTACAGTTTTAGCACTTTTTACTTACACACTTTTGGGTTGGGTCAAAACTTTTATTACATTTTTTTCTAACATTTTACATATTTACTAATAAAAATTTAAAAAAAATGTAGACAATACTGTGCTAAAACTCTAAGGTTTCTCTAATTTATTTATGTAAGTAGTGACAGCAATTTTATAATTCCATTATTATTGTTTTTTTGTACAAAAATTAATACTGATCAGATCTCAAGTTGATTTATTCATATATTTTTGATGGCCCTTTTTGTTCTTAAAAAGCGACCAAAGTTAGTCCAGTTAAGGAGAAATGAATTAGGTATTTTAACCCCGTTGCTGACTTTTTAACGACCTTTACGATATTTTGGTTTAATTTTATTACATTTACCCTTACACTTACCCTTACGATATTTTGGTTTTATTTATGCATAAATTCCAAAATCATGTTACGAAAATTGGTGCTAAAATCTCTTTTTGAAGATTTCTTAGGTTCAAATTGAAGTTGAGAGTTGAATTGAACTATTGTTATTGATGAGTTAAAACGTTTTTTTTATCTGTCGTAAATTATTCACCTGATAACGTTTTTTTTTTTTCAAAAAACTTTTTCAATCCTATGTTTATGAAATTGCCTACATAGTTAAAAACATAAAATTAATTTTTTTTTAAAACATACATTAAAACATAAAATTGTGAATCTTATTTTTTGTATTTAAGGACAAAATAGTCCTACAATGAAAGCCATATTTAAAGTCATAATAGTGAGAAGCTGGAAAAGCTCCTCAAGCTACCAGCGCGCGTCCCTTCAAAAAAAAAATGTAAAAATTAATGTATTCTTATAGAGTTAGGTTTTACAGGGCACTTAATTCTTTTTCTTAATCAAATCATTTTTCTGTTCCATATAATTCAATGGCCAATACTCATATTATGAATCCCAGCTTAAAAACTCTGCTAGCAATCACTATACTATCTTTATTGAAGAAAAATGTTTGTGAAATCAAATGAACTTTAATGTACATTCTTATAAACTATGCATTATTAATTACAAAGTATCATATCAATATAGAGTAGGTTGCCCACTGTTCTCATTCTAAATTAGGTTAATAATTATCATTAATTAGCAAATAATTTACCAAACTACCTCTAGTATTATGGAATTCTGTTTACAGTTCATTTAATTAATTTAAACAGGTTTTAACGCGGATAGTTAAACCTGTATTTGCCTGGCTGTTAATTGACTTATTAATTACTTATTCGTATACACGAGTTGTTAGATTTAGCATTTGTGTTAATCTTTAAATCAACAAAAAAAATTTCTCGATTTAAAAAGTACATAAATCTCGCCCTTTATATTCACCGCTGAGCTATTAGCAATTATTAAAATATTTAGAAATTGTTGAACATTACCATTTTAGGATAAAAGAAATCTCGTACTGGCTATCATGTTTTAGGTTGAATCTCATTTAGGTATTTACTGAACTAGCAAGCCATTGCTAAATTTCATCATCCTTTATTGCCAGAAAAAAAAGGGCCAGGCTAATGGTATGGCTCCAAAATCTACCTGCAAACTTGCAATTGTCGACGGGCCCCTGTACCATTGTAAAAACTATGGAAAAATCCGTTTATTTTAAACTAAATTTTAGAAAAAGTGCGACATTTGCCTCGGAGATTGTAAACGATTTGAGCCCAGGTAGACTGTTCTAACAAAGGACAGTGTAAGTGAAGCAAAAAATCGGGTTTGCTTATTTAGCTAATAAAAACCTACCCTAAAGTTCTGCTACATGTTTCAAACAAAAGAGACCCTCATCATTGTAAACTAGGGTCCCTTACAATAACTGGTAATTGTGTATTTTACATAAAAACATGCCCGGTGTTGGTCAGTCCGCTCATTTATCTCGCATAGAAAAATGTCATGTTACGGTTGGGACGGGCCAGACAACATTTTTTTTACATATTTTTTCCATTTGTTTTTGCAAAATCACGTACCGCTGTTGAGTCGGTCAAGGAATAGTTTTTTTTTTACATATTTTTTTATTGATTTTTTTTGGTAAAAATGCAATAACGTCGTTAGAAAGTCAGCAATCGTCATGGTGCTGTTAGGACACTGCCAAAATTGAAGTGCCGTTGGATTTAGTAATAAAAAAAAGCCATTGTGTTCATAGTTTTCTGTCCATTTCATTGTCCTACTCTAGACAATGTAGCCTATACTTGTACTTTTTATGTTTCACTCTCTTGTTAGATATTTTGGTTTTTTACCAATCATTTTGTAATCGTACATATTTTTGAAATATTGGGATGGGATGTGGAAGACAATAATGGAAAATTCGCACGCTATTTTTTGTAACCACTTATAGATTTTTAAATGAAAATTTATATTTTACTATACTACACATTTAGAACTTGAGCATAAGGCAGCTGATTCATATTTTGAGTTCGAAAAAAAATGATTGTGCCTTTGAAATTTAAAATTTACATAGCAAGAGAGTGAAACTTGGTTTGATTTTAAAACAGGGTGTTAGTCTAGCTTTTTAGTTTTGTTTTGTACGTAAATCTAATAAGCTTAATGTAGAGGTAGTCTTAGCAGTAATTGCTTATTCTGAGATCTAAAGTAAAGATACACTGTCTCATTCTCCCTCTATAAATCGGAGAGGGACGGCGTACCTTTACATTATTATAATAACAAATAATCTCAGAATAGCGTAGTATCAACATAATTATTGTCAATCAATAATCAACGTAGCAATATTTTCGCTTGTTATTCGTAACAGTAAAATCTGATCTCAAAAAAACCTTTAAATCATTTCAACAAGACTGAATTCTGAGTCATTCCCAAAAATAAAAAGTTGGTTAGTGAAAAGAGGGCACATCAAAAAATTTGCATTAAGAATAGCTTTAAAAATCTAAAAAACAATAAGACAGTCTGATGTGATGAATCAATATTATTTTTAACTAACGTATTTTTTATTGCGAATTTCGATTTTTTCATTTGCTATTTAGTAAAGAGGTTGAAAAGTATTTTTTAAACTTATTGTTTTTTTTTTAACCAAATAATTGATCAAATTATTGATGTGCCCCTCTAAAACTTAAAACTCAGTTGCCGCCTATGAATGAATAGTTATAATTACATAATATTATAAATATAAGCAAAAATGAACTGAAAATATAGTCATAAACACATTAATAGAAAAATAATTAATTGTAAAATAATCGAAAAGATACCTTTTTAATTTAGTTTTTTGTATTTTTTCCAGTTTTCTCACGGTGGAAAATCATTGTTAAAACCATTAATACAATAGTTATTACAGATTAGACAAAATTTACAAAAGTTTTATTAATAATTTGTTGACCTCAGCATTCCACATCAATATTATTAATAATAATGTACTTTTAACATTAATATGTAAAAGTAGGTATGATTATGTAATGCATGTATTCTAATATTAATATATAACGATTATAGTAGATGCTTTGGCCGTCAGATGAGTTGTGAAGATCAGGGATTCCTAAAAGGTATCAAATTTAAAACAAGTAGTATACATAAAAAATCTTAAAATAAGTAAAATTCGAACATTATATTAATAAAGTGTGTGTATAATAATAGATATGTGTTTTTGAAGTAAAAATATAGTCTCAGAATAGCATAAACAAGTGCCCTGGACTTCACTCGAACGACGGTCGTATGTGAATGACGAAAATACAAAAAAAGCTAAAAAAAATAATTTTGTAACTTAAAAAAGTCGTTCACATACTTCATCTTTATTAATATTGTATAATAAGTTAAAAAAATCTTAAAAATACGCTAAAATGTCATTAAAACTTTTAGTTTGTATCTTTTTGGTATGGAAATTTAGAATTTAACTACTAATGTCAATTCCATATTTGATTAAAGCATTCATATTTTTAACCCTTTTTAATCATTTTTCCATTTTTTTTACTCTTGAATGCTTTTCTCAAAAAAAATACCTCATTCTCTCAACTTTCGAAAATCAAATAATGAACTAAAACTAGGCAATTTAAAGTGTTTGCACAAACTAAAGGGTACTTCTTAGGATACTAAAACTTATTCTGTGATCATACTGTTGATAATCCAAAATTATTGTTATGATAGTTTTAAAAAACAAGTATGGCGACTTTACGAAACCATTTTTTGACTTTTTTGTACTTATGTACTTAATTTCTGACAACTTCTTTACAACGAGTGGACAATGCGAAATATTTTTAGTTGCATTTGGTTTTAGTGACCTACTTTGATAGATTTTTTAATAAAAAAAATGTAAAAAGAATTTAATATGAAAAAATAATTTCGCATTGTCGACTTTTTTAAACTTTTCACTAACTCTTGTTATTCTTTACTTTGACCTATGTTTTTAAATGACGAAGTTGGACTTGTTTAACTTTTTTTATTATTCACATATATTTCAATGGTTTTTTTAGAATCGCCATACTCATCGGCCGATTTGGTAAACTGTGATTCTCAAAAACGTGTTCATATCATAATTAATGCACACCGATTTCAGACACAAAAAAAATATTAAAAGAATAAAAAAACATTTCTATATAAAATAATAGCTACTTACATAAATTACGTATTATTTGAGCCTCTACTTAAAAATAATGATTGATATGTATATCACAAAATGTTATGTACAAAAAACTGTAACTAATACAACTGGATTTGTTATGTAGAAAAAGCAGTAAAAAGTACACTTTTATTATTTGAAACGAGATACAACTGGTTTGTTCTTAAAAAGTAGGTAGATTTTATTTTGTTTTATTAAAATTGTGTTACATTATGTTTTACATTTTTTTACATTTATTGTGCCAGAGATCGGTGTGTGTGTCTGTTGCTTATTTTTTACTGTTATCATTTTCGGGTTAAAATACACTGTTTTCGACTGATTAAACGTGTGTGCAGTTTGGAATTTCTTGTTTTATTAATGACTACTATCCAAAATTCTAGATTTGATGCAAATAAATTATATTTGGTTTGATTTAATTTTCTTAAATTTTTCCTATGATTACACAAAAAATGCCAATTTCATCAAATTCGGTTCAGTAAAAAAACACGAGTTACTTAGGTATACGGCTGAGTTGCAGTTTTACTTTAACTTTAACATACGTCAAAAATCTGTCATAATACCCCATACAAATAACCTCCTCCTTTTTTGAAGTCGGTTAAAAAACACGGGTTATTGTTATAGTTACGGTTAAAGTAAGTTGGTGTAACTTTTTTTTAATGCAAGACAAGGCAGGTATTTGACCGCAATCGCGCCTGGTGTTAAGTGAGATGCAGTCTAGGATGGTACATATCTGCCCTGTAAGTGCCTATTCACTCTCGCCTTAAAAACGCCCGGATTATAGTGTTCAGGAAATACAGCAGCAGACAGCGAATTCCAGTCCCTAGCTGTTCGCATTATAATAGACTCAGCCTTAGACTAAGACCATGTAGCATCTGTCTTTCGAACCCAGTAGTTGCCAGGTTCGATTCCCAGTGAGAGCAAACTAACTTGAAGCGAATCTTACTTTAATCTGTCGCAAAGCGAATGTGGATTATTTATAATTATAACTAGCAGCCGCCCGCGACTTCGTACGTGTGGATCCCGTTTTACCCCCTTAGGGGTGGAGTATCATAAAATCCTTTCTTAGCGGATGCCTACGTCATAACATGTACCTGCATGCCAAATTTCAGCCCGATCCGTCCAGTGGTTTGGGCTGTGCGTTCATAGATCACTATGTCAGTCAGTCACCTTTGAGTTATATTTAGATCTGCCCTATGCGAAAATTTTTCATATTATCTTATGGAAATCCTTGGAGGTGGCATTTGTCCAGCAGTGGACTTCTGCTGAAACGATGATCCATTATTACCTACTCGGTTGTTAATCTGCAGAATGACCTTACTGTTTATTGATGGATAAAAAATTGCAAGGGAAGCCCCTACAAACATTAATTTTATTACGTTATCATACGGATTACGGATTAACTAATGATGATTCAACTAATTAATCGCTGATTGCAATTTAGTATAAATATTGCAAACTTAAAGATTGTTTTGTGATACCTACATACAAGATGCGTTGCATTGTTGTGTTGGTTATTTTGGGCACTGTCGCAGTCAGTGGTAAGTACCTTCGTTTCAGCCGAAAGACGTCCAGTGCTGGACAAAGGCCTCCCCCAAGGATTTCTTCAAAGAGCGGCCCTGCGCCGCTTGCATCCAGGCACCTCCCGCGACCTTCACCAGATTGTCGGTCCACCTAATGGGAGGCGTGCCCACGCTACGTCTTCCAGCTCGTGGTCGCCACTCAAGAACTTTCCTGCCCCAGCGGTCATCAGCTCTTCGAGCTATGTGCCCCGGAGCGTGCTATGCTCGGAGTTTCCCTGCGTGATCGAATCAGAAATGAGGAGATCCGTAGGAGAACCAGAGTGACTGACATAGCCCGCAGAATCGCTAAAATCAAGTGGCAGTGGGTAAGTACCTACCAACTCTGAACTCTTAAATCTAAACTTAACTAGATCTTGAAACATAACGAAATTTTAATTAAACTTCTTATTCGTTACGCTCTTGGCAGAGCGGTCGTGGTCACGTTGAGGCGTTGTTCACATCGGTTGTAGAGGCGGATACAACTCTCCGCACGATCTCCCTCGATCTCTCTCTATTGGCAGACTGTCTGGTGCAGTCACTTACCCCTTTACTAATAAAAAGTTACACTGTTGTTGAACACTGTTTTAAAATGAAATTTCCATACTAAACGTCACTTTAAAACACTGTTCAACGAGCGTGTAAGTTTTATTAGTAAGGGGGTTAATAATTAACTAGACGTCCTCTATTAACAAGGATTTGTAAAAATCGGTCATAAACTTAACACATTTCTTAATTAAGTAGATCTTACATAATAACACCTTTAGTTCAGGTCCAGGGGTGACTGAGGCACTCGACTATGAGGTTCTAATTATCATGGAGGACACACTCCAAGTTTATTACAGCATCAAGAGGTGATGAATACGCGAACATCAGGCCTTGCCAACCCGCCTGGCCAGCTTGGGAAGTGTAGACAAAAAATACCCTCCATTTGCCTCTTGTAAATTGGATAGAAGCTAGACGACGGCACAATTTAGGCAGTTTTATCGCTGAAGTCGCTGACATAGCCCGACGGATTAGCAAGCTGAAGTGGCAATGAGCAGGGCACATATTTAATACCGGAAAACGCAGCGTGGGACGTCCATCCACAAGGTGGACCGACGACATTATAAAGGCAGCAGGGAAGCGCTGGACGCAGACCAATCGATCAACATATTGGAAAGCATTGGGGGAGGCCTATGTTCATCAGTGGACGTCCTATGGCTGAAATGATGATGATGATTGCTATAAAGCAGGGGTGGCCAACTTGATTAGACATAAGATCTACTAATCTACTGTCTAACGAAACCCTGGGTGATCTACCACTTACATACTTGAAAGAAAGAAAGAAAAGAAATTATATTTGTTGGAAACCAACAAGTAGTTTTTATACTTTTTATTACTTTTTCTTCTAAACAAAATAAAATCAACTTCTTCTCTTTGACAGCTGAAAGAAGGTCGTTTTATTCATACATTTTATCCATATTTTAATACATTATTCAATAATTCATACACATAATTAATTTATGTCTTATGCTACATAAATTTGGTGCCGAAACCCGTACATAGTTCACATTGTTTTTTTTGTGTGCTGCTGGAAAATTATCCCGAGGGCCAACGCCGGCATAGTTGCCGATTGCAGTAGATAATTATGGCTACCCAGGTTTGTGGTGACACTAATAACCAAAAAACCAAACTATTACAAGGACAATGCAAGGCCGCTATAACACGATGTGTTACTTTTTTGGACAAAAAGTCAGACCCGAGTGTGTTTGAACTGACGAACCGACGGAAGGCAGTTGAAGAAGCGTTCGCGCGCTACCACCAGCTGGCGGACGAGGCCATTTTGCAAGGCCAGGAGGTGTTGGATGGTGAAGAGGAGTTCGAGGAGCGCTATTACGATGTCCTCTCCCGGATCGACGCTCTTCTGGACCGCCGCAGCAGTGCTTCGCCGCTGGGGTTTGCGAGTGCCGTGGACGTTTCGCCGCCGCTGTTCGAGACCACGAGACTGCCTCCAATAGAAATCCAATCGTTTGACGGTAACAACGTCTGTGCATACAAGCCATTCATCGAGCTTTTTATGGAATTAATAGGAAAAAAAAACTTTAAGTTATCCAATGTACAAAAGTTATATTATTTAAAGGGCTATTTAAAGGGCGAGGCCTTAAATCTTGTAAATAATTTGCCTCTCATAAACCAGTCGTATGATGACGCTCTTGCTTTGTTGAATAGGAGATACGACACTAAGGGACTAATGATTAAAACGCATATTAGTGCTATTTTAGATCTGCCTAGCATTACGCGTGGCACTGCCCAGGCCATCCGTTCCTTAGTGTCGCAGATTTCGCAGCAAATGAGCGCGCTACGTAGCTATGATGAACCTGTTGAAAGCTGGGACTCCATATTGGTTTGCATCATGATGAAGAAATTAGATTCACTGACTGTAAGATTGTTTAGTGCAGAGCAGGACTTTTATATAAATGATGTCATATTAATCAAATTTACTAAATCATAATTATTTCATAATAACCGGTAATTATTCATAATTTTTATCACATTTACCGTAACATATAAATCAGGAGGACAAGTCATAATAAATATTGTTCTTTATTTGACGCTTTCTTTGGAATAGTTAAGTGGCATTTAAAAGAAGGCGAATTAGTATATTAGAACTTTAGAAGCCTTTTATATTCCCGTGGCTTAGTTTTAAAATCAAGGTTAGATACCGTGGAAAAATAATAATAATAAACAAATTTATTTCTGTATAAAAACAGCCTAAAATATTATTATATCAGAGGCTTGACTCACAATTTCCCATAAATAAATTAATTTTAACTCATTGGTTTTATTTTGGAAAATGTACTATGTATCATGATTGAAAATTCTTAGCTTTCTCCAGTAATACTGATATTATTATACTGTGACTCGCCACCCGCCAGACAGAGGCGATTTTGTCAAAAATATTGACAAGTCGCGAACTGTCACAGGAATAAAACTGACACGCGTCCGTCCTCCGTAAGCGCCACCGCGCGACTGATTAAGATTGTCCAAGCCGTCATGGCCGATTTTTTCACATTTTTTCAACATAGTAACTAAATAAGACGCAATAACAAAAGTTTGAAAAGTTGTCGACCTAGAAAATACAAAGTCCTATCTATTAGTATATATTTTAAGTGTAAAATGTTAAAAATGAATATATGAGAGTAAAACAAAAAAGCCGTCGACGTACTTCTTTGGGATTTTTTTTTATCGGACAAACTATGCAATATCGTGTTTTGGAAAAGTTGTCGCCCTAGTTAAAGACATTAACTTACTCGTACAATTTTTTGTTTGCTAAAATATCTTTTCATTTAGAAGCTATCTGCAAACAAAATCGGTCAAATATCGACAATTTGGGAAATCATGGCCTTAAGGTCTTTGACTTAGCTCATAAAAGTGGTAAAACGAATTGATACATGCGTAGAAATTATGTTTATAGCGTGCTCTGGTTGATTTAAGCATCCTCTTAACCGAAATAGGGCATTACAAGGGCCTTTACGCTATTTTGCGCCGCATCTGTGGGAATTTGACCCACTAACTCCAGGTCCCAATTCTCTCATCTCATCGATTATGTACCTAAAATAATATCGCCATGAATGTTTCATTGCTTCGCCAGCGGTTTGAGGGAATAAAACTCAAACGGCGTAATAACCCGCTCCCAGGTGGGATATGGGAGTGGATGCAGTGACCCATGCGGGTCGGGACTCGGGCCGGGTCGATGCTGGGCGGTGACTCGTGTGAGCTTGACTTGTGTTCATTGTTGATAATCAGTAAGGCTGAGTTGCACTATCTTGTTTTAGCAGTTACTGTAACCATAACCGGCGCTTTTATATGGTTGTCAGACTTTTGACGTTTGTTAAAGTTAAAGTAATAATAATGTAGAAGTAGGCAGAATGATATGTGGGTCTGTCTCCAGCTTACATGCCTGAAAGACGTTGGTTATTGAATCTAATTATTAGAATGAACTGTCTGTTATGCTGCTCTTTAGGTGATAGTGATACTAACGAAACATGTAGGTATAGCAGCTATTTCGAATTATGAACGATAATGTTTATTAACAAAATATTTTGTTCATAAACGCGCTCTACAAATTACTTATTCTGTTACTGTTCAACAGACTCAGATGGACCCATAGCGGCCTGTACCAAACCCCAGGCGTTTAGGCTATCGTTATTAAGTCTCCTAGATTCGGCTCCGGATTGGGTCACAGTGAAGCGGGACGGGATCGACTTTAAATTGGAATGCAGTGATGCGTCCCGCGGGTCGGGCCAGCGACTCGTGCGCTCACACGCTCGACTTGCGATGGTTTTACTTAGGCTGGGTTGCACCATCTTACTTTAACTTTGACAAACGTCAAAAATCTGTCAAACTCCATACAAAATACACCGGTTAATTCAAAGTTAGGTGGTGCAACTCAGTATTAGTTGATAATCCACATTTGAAGGCTCTTTTCAGATGATAGTTTAATGACTCACAAATAAGATAGTGGTAAAATATTTGGAGAGTATTTTACAATGATTAAGCCTTCTTTAAAAATCCTATAGTGATGCTCTTAAATACGAGTACGTAGCCTAGAATAAGCTTTCAGAGATTATGTTTTTCTATCGACACATTTAGGTTACAGCCTGCCTCATGATTGCTTTATGAAATTAACAGGTTATTTTTAGTAAAAATTTCGCCATTCCATTTAACTCACAACAGTTTGTTGTGAAATATAAAATTGTATCACAGGAAAAACAATTTCAGCGGCATTAACGTTTATATTTGTAGCAAGTTTGTTTTCCATCGACGCAGCGAATTCGCCTGCAAACAAGCAACGCGGTATTTATACTTATTTGTTAGTTGGGACGTGGGATTATTATTTTACATAAGGGCTCTCACGTGTGGACTAACACGTGTATAGGCTTGGGATATGTTCATGCTATCGAAGCGCGGCGAGATGAGGTTTTCTGGGAGGAAATTAT